TTGGTTGTATTGTGCTCTCTGAGTTGGGTTGTTTAATCGTGAATCTTTCATCGTCCTTCTGGACGACATCATGAGCACAAACTTCATACTGAAGTTGGAGAACACAATACAACGAAGAACATCCACCTGAACTACAAATATTCTCCACTATTTCAAAACGATATCTTCTCATCAATACAATCTTCAGTGTTGATATTTCTTATTCGACAGCAGACAGAGTGAATAAGATCTTTTTTTCTTTTGACAGGCGCTCAACTATTGAACCCACTTTGTTGTCCATTCCATGTTTCTCTTGTTTATAGGGGTCTATTTAGGTATCCATTCTTATGTGTTAATCTTTTTAGAAATCATTGATTTCGTGTTGATCAACTTGTCTAATCTTATTACACAATACTAAACTGATTTATCACCTTCATCAATTTCTTTTCCCCTTTCTGAGTTATAAGCCTTCTGAGAACTATTCCAAGTATTTTAATAGTTAAGAATTGAAAAAACCCCAAATAAAGCATCATATGTCATGGTTAACTGAATGTAAGATATTTCTAGCTGTTTACATTTTATCTGTCAGTTTCAAAGTTCTATCATTGGTGATACTGAAGGTCAGAAGGGGAGATGAACAAGGGAGGAGGAACTCACTGTGGTTGGCTGGCAACGAACCAACCAACACACCAACCAACCAACCTATCACCCAACAACCATGTAGAAGAAGAAAGTGTATATGGATTGGATTTGACACAGTGTGAGAAGAGGGTTTGGGGACATCACACGTCAGTCCAGGGAAGGCGAGGACAGGCCAGTACATCGAGTGCAAGACAAATGTGAAACGAAGAATTGGGTGTGTGAGGTTGACATGTAGGAGATGATGTGTGAGGAAGAAATGAAGTGTTTTGGGCAGTGGTGGAGGCAGGTTTTAGAAAAAGAGAATGGAGAGAAGAGGGTGAAATGGTGACGTGCTACTGAATCCCCTTCCCCCACTAGGAAATCATCGGACAAATAAATAAAATGTTAACTGTTCATCATAAATCGATGTTGGAAAGTTTTTTTATCACTAATTAATTGGTTATATTGTCTTATTCAACTAGTTTGAATTCCATGCTATTGAGTATACATAAAGAAAATATGCTTAGAAATTATTCATCTAATTATGTCATTCAATTGGATTAGAATCTGTTGAAAGTACTAGCGACTTGTGTATAGAATTTATGATGTGTAATATAGGTGGATAGTATTTTCATTTTATCATTGAAATAAGTTTATGATTAAATGAGAAGGTATTTCAGTCAGATTATTTGTTGTAAACTATCTTACGTTTTCTATGGTATGTGATATAACTTGAGTGAATAACAATCTGACGATTTGAAAAAAAATCAGCTTACATTGTTATATATGTTTAAAAGAGTGTCTGACTCTTTTTCTTTTAAGCCTGATATTTAGAGGTAGTATTCATCACAGACTGATATCAACTAGAAGCACTGGACAGATGTTTCATCGCATTTTGAAACTCCTCATTGGTACGCACCTAAGAACTGGTTGGGAATCGAACTCATGTGGTATAATTTGTTATTTATCAGTGCTTGTAGATTTTATCACTAGTCATGAGGATGGAGAATGAAAACATCCATCTTGGACTCGACTGTCAGCCACCACTGAGTAAATGATATCAATATGAAGCTTGGTGTATCCGTCCAATAACTCCATCTGTCATCAATCTGGGTCGCTATAAACATCAAAAGAAGAAGGAAGGTTGTATCCTTGAATCGAATGACTGAGTAGCCTGGTGAATGACGTCGTGGTGTTAGAAGCGATGATCACTATGTTGGTGTTTCATTTGGGATGCGATGACTCATATTTTCTTTACTGCTGATGAATCCGATGTAAGACGGAAGGTGGATTATGTACTCCATTATTTGCTATCAACAAACAAATTATTGCAACTTGATGGATTTTGAGAGAAGAATGAAAGGATTCTAGTATGAGTTGTTTGCGAAACTGATTTCCCTGTGTTTGAACACCAGGAAATTTTAAATCAATGATATTTCACATGGTGGCTTGCGATGAAATTCAGAACGCCCTTCTCCTCCTTTTAGGGGTCATCAGCTGAATTCATCCGCATCCCACTGAGTGATGATGTGTTAGTTGAGACGCAAACTCATTACTTATCTCTTCGAATGAGAGAAGGTTTTCCACTAGTCAATGAGGCCGGAGAACAGTGGGGTGCAGTTACATCCAGTCCATGAGTCTTCTCGTTTAAGGCGAAACGCATGTTCTGGATTTCACTGCTAGCCCCCACAAAGTAAACTATGACATAGTGAACATTTATACAGTATTGGAGCATCTGCATGGTAGCCTATCTGCCAACAGAGGCCGAGCACTTCGACTCTGCGTAGCGATGGAGAATTACAGCAACTGATATCCGTTGCACAAAATGTGGTTTTCGTGCCACAGTGGCTTAGTGGATAACGCTTTGATAACTGAAGTGATGTTGATTGGGTTGAACGATTAGTGGAGACAACATCACTCCACTCTCTGGTGCAGGTGTTCCAGCTGACGAGTCCCGAATAAAGGAAACGCGTGTCGTGGGTTCCTGTACTAGTCATCGTGATCAGTATAAAGTCGACGAAATTTCTTGTTTGATAGCTCAAAATAGATGATGATTGAAATTGTTTCCTCAGTATACTTCTGCGTATCAATACACTTTTTGACGTCCCTCTAAAAACAGAGATTTCCACTTTCATTATTTCAATCGGTTTGGAGAGAAATCTAACACTGATCAAGTTTTTTCAAGTTTTACTTGACAATCATCCAATTTCATATCACTAACCTGACCTATAAAGTGGTTTGCATTCATTCCCTAGAGATTCAGTGAAACAACTCACTTATATAACTATAAACCCCTCTCAGTAGTCCAACAGTTGAGTATGAAATAAAATGACTTGATTGTAGATTTAGACATTCAGAAGGATTGATACACCTGTTGGAGAAACTGGAAACTTTCTTCATTTAGCACAGAGATCTATAATATTCAGCCTCTTCCATCATTATTTCACAGAGCTCAATGCTGAAGTCAGTGTAAAAGTGGATTTGTTCTCGTTTCATACCTAGAATCTACTCTCCATATAATACACCTTAATTTCTCTGTCCACTCAACTCTACAGTCTTCTAATTGATTGGATAGGTAAAGTGAGGTCATTAATATTGAGTGCTTGTCACATTGAACCAATATGAAGTTGCCAAATCTCCAAAAACCTCAAAATTGAATAAATTTTGTGGTCATTGTTGACTGGCTTCGTGAGGTTGTTGTCGAAGTTTCAATGAAAAGTCGTGACAAGTGAAGTCAAGCAATTCGGACATGAGGACAGTTATTGAAGGATGACATTGGATGGACGTCGTGCTATACGGTATACTGACAGAAGTAGGAAACATCCAACACTGGATTGCAAGCAGACGGCTGAATGATAAGGTGCTGGGATCGATGCCTGGTGGAGTGGGGTTATGGATGCGCACTGCTAAACATCCCCATACTAGGACAAAACAGCTGTCCAGTGCTCCTTAGCTTCAAATATCCCTCCAACTGATGTGAGTCCATGATGAATACTAACTAACCTGAAAGAAATGTGATGGGACGTAAGGATCGATTTTGTTAGTGGTAAATGTGATCATGGATTGATAGGTCCGATGAAATCGAATAGAACCCATTCACAACAGTTATAACTCCACCTTATTCATGAATATGCAGAAAAATTGAGACAGTTTAATTAGAAATGAGGATGTTCGTTTACTTGGTCAATTCAACTTCTTATCATCACACCATCTAAACTATTTCTACCATAGTCTGTATACACAGTTGTATATATATGCAAATTTAGGCACCACAGATAATCTGATATCAGACAACCAGACAGTCTTTATCTCAAAGCAGGTTAATACAAAATGTTGAACAGGGTAACTGAGGAGTAAATTCTGAGCAAAACAAAACAGGAAACTGACTTCAGCCTGTGAAGCGAATCACTTTCTACAAAGAATCAGTTGAGTTCCTCCCACTGATTATCAGTGACTTGCTCACATATTGAATTCCAGAATTTCCGAGGAAAACCAAGACCACCTATAGGGTTGACCAAGTGAAATGTGTCGGGAAATATTTGACAACGTTATTGGATGACAGTTATGTAATAGCAGAAGTTGAGAGAATTACAGAAATGTAAACCAATGAATTCCAGTTGTATAGGTGAGTAGCACTGTGTTCAGCATAATGCATAACTGTTCTGAGCTGAGACATAAACTACAATGGAACAGTTATTCAGTTTTCCCAGGTGGGATACATTATTATTATTATTTTTCGCTTGAGTTCTTACTAAAACATATGGATTCAGTAGCACGTCTCCATTCCATTGTCTTCTCTGCAGTCATTCCAACCTGCCTATACAACTGCCACAAACTCTCATCTCTTCCTCACACCATCTTCTCCATGTCACCCTCAACTCAGACACCGAAGTCGTCGCCTCCTCTCTCGAATCAACTCCAGAGCATAGCCTAGCACATGATGTTAACAATCGGCCTTCTCACTGCAGGCCCAATAGAATCCAACTCCACATCCCTCTCCTACATATATGCTGAGCGATAGGCTCTTGGTTGCTGCGTTACCACGACAGCATTTCTGTCAAACCGTAAAACTAATGCAAGTGGAATATTGTCAGAAGAAAAAATATGCGGTCAATGGTACGATGATGTAATGGTATACAATGTAAATATGGTCAGTAAGAAGAATGTGTAATTCTCTATTACTTCACCTCTCCAATCATTTTATGCTTTCATCAGTCGTTTCAATTGCTCCACTTGAATATAACCAATAATGTATATTCTCCAACCATAATTGGCAAGTCTTTTAATCCAATTGGTAATTAGTAATAAATGTTATAAATAGACAGTGTAAGATAGTGTTGAATAAAGTATTAGAGAGTATTCAGAGACCAGTTGACATAGATAATAAAACATCCTTTCAAATGTTAGAATCTAATTCATCAAAGCATAGTAAAGTATTAAGAAGAGTATTGATACCAATTGATGGAAGTAATGAATCGAAGAAAAGTTTAATTTGGTATACTGATAATATGAAACGTGATGGTGACTTACTTATGTTTGTTCATGTTATTGATCCAGTACTTCCATCAGCATTATCTGCATTATCAGCTGAATGTGAATTAATGCCAGCTGGAGCATCATTTTATATACCTGAAAGTGAAATGTATAAAGCTAAATCTATGTGTCAACAATTAGTATATGAAGCAAATAAATTTCGAATAAAATCTGAAGCATTAATTCAAGTTGATACAAAACCTGGTCCAGCTATAGTGAAATTGATATCAGAGAAGAAGATTGATATTGTTGTTATGTCTTCAAGAGGTTTAGGATTTTGGCGACGTAATTTTATTGGTAGTGTCAGTTCATATATACTACATCATTCAAATATTCCTGTATCAATTGTACCATTATCTGGTAATCAGTCATAATCAAGTGAACACATTGATCGATCTATGTGTACTTGTGTGTCTGAGTGTTATCCACTAGTGATAATCAATCAAATCGCCTCATGAATATTGTTTCAAGTAATCATGACATTTTAACAGCTGTCAGTATTATTCTGTACCGCATTGAATTTCGTCATCATCATCATCATCATTATGCGTATAAACAATGGCCAATAAAAAGCTTTTTATTCCCAATATAAAATAACTCTTATTTATTTCTTTATTATTTTTAATAAATTATTGTTGATAATAATTGGCAATAAAATCACTTTCTTTACAATAAATTGTATGTTTTCTTCTCTGATAGTCGTAAAATGCATCTCCTAAGAGGATTTCATGAAGTAAGACTACACAGAAGAAATGACCATTCATTAGTATGCCTACTTACTAGCTAGTTATCATTATGTCATATTCATTCAATTATAAAAATCTTAGGGAAGACAATGTCAAAAGTCTTCACCTGTTAACACACTTATATATGTGTAGAACAGATATAGGATGTAAAGAGAGAAAAATCGATGTGGAAACTGATGAAGAGATGCATCACTTCTAGTAGTCACACTTCATGACCATATGAAAAATAGGAGAGTGATTTTGAGAAGAGAAGAAGAGTGAATCAATGAAGGTTAGTGAGATGTCAAAGTCAAAGTGTATAGATCTGTGCAAATGTCATCGACTCTCAGCCATGTTATCAACAACCATTAACCAATAATTCCCGTTACATTCACAACTCTACTTTACAAGTCTACACCTCACTTCATGACTGAAATCAATAGTCAAGAAGTGGTGTTAGGCGTGTGTTAGTTATTAGCATGCCTACTCACAACCTTGTTTCAAGTCATTCGCATCAGTCGAAAATAGATATAAGGTTATAGGTGAACGTGTAAACATATCACATAGAATATCTCGAGTGATGATAACGAAGATGGTTGGAAAGTACAAAATTGAGAGGAAGATATTCAGCGAATACACTCTTCCCAACTACTTCTTCCTAAACCGCACATTCGTATACACATATGCTATTCGAAAAATTGGATCCATGAGGAAAACTAAACACTATATGATGACGATGATGACATAGGCATTTGTGATTATGTGAACAGTAGAAGTATGAATGATGAGAAAGCAGATTACATACTATGCAGAATGGTACTATACAGAAAGGTATATAAGTCAGAAAGTGTTGAAAACATTGATGGAAGTGGTAAAACAGTTGAGTGTTCTGCAATAAGATTAGACAAGTTGGTCAACATGAAATCAATGTTTCCGAAAATGATAGTTAAGACAATTGAGAGAAATAACAGACCGGAAACTAATCAAATTGAAGACGATTACAATACCAATAATAATAATGATAATGATGGTGATGAAGTAAGGATACAAAGTAGGGATGGTGAAGCTGAATAGAGTGAGAAAATGTCATGACCATGATGAAACGAGTGACTATGCAGACGACTTTTGTACACACACATCACGTTTCACTTCATAAACCTAAATAAAACCTCCTCTGTTCCACAGAATTGAAAACGAGGAGAATGTCAGGGGTCCACTCAAATTTGATGAACAAGTTTGAAGTGATTGTGTGTGTGGATTTGTTGACTGGTGAGAAGGAATCAATCAAATATTCAATGATCGGACCTCAAACAGACTTCCTTTCAACTTTATAAAACCAAGCAGAAACATGTTCCCATATATGTGTGTAGAAAGTATTCTCTTACTTCGACCGATAAACTTTGCTCCACAAAAGCAGATCAACTGGTAGATGCTTATGCGAGTGGCGAAATGACGAAGCTTATCTGTAACGCAAATGGAGAATAGTTTACGGTTAGTTAGTGAAAGTCAACTGTAGTCTTGGTGTGAAGAAATTTCTGTTGATTGATTAGTGTAGATGATTCCTCAGTACGTCTGATGTTAGCTATGTGGTCACATTTAAATTGTAAGCTGATGAACAATGTTTGCTTTGAGAGTGAGTGGATGACTGGCTGACTGACTGACTGACTGACTGATTGACTGACTGACTGACTGACTGGTTTAATATTTCTTTCTTGTATAGTTTTATTATTGATGAAATGGCGTGGGTGACCGTTTTCCATGAGTATATCTTCTAAGAAGGATATCTTGGTTGTATTGTGTTCTCTGAGTTGGGTTGTTTAATCGTGAATCTTTCATGGTCCTTCTGGACGACATCATGAGCACAAACTTCATACTGAAGTTGGAGAACACAATACAACGAAGAACATCCACCTGAACTACAAATATTCTCCACTATTTCAAAACGATATCTTCTCATCAATACAATCTTCAGTGTTGATATTTCTTATTCGACAGCAGACAGAGTGAATAAGATCTTTTTTTCTTTTGACAGGCGCTTAACTGTTGAACCCACTTTGTTGTCCAACTGTTTTACCACTTCCATCAATGTTTTCAACACTTTCTGAGTTATACACCTTTCTGTATAGTGTGTAATCTGCTTTCTCATCATTCATACTTCTACTGTTCACATAATCACAAATGCCTATGTCATCATCGTCATCATATAGTGTTTAGTTTTCCTCATGGATCCAATTTTTCGAATAGCATATATGTATACGAATGTGCGGTTTAGGAAGAAGTAGTTGGGAAGAGTGTATTCGCTGAATATCTTCCTCTCAATTTTGTACTTTCCAACCATCTTCGTTATCATCACTCGAGATATTCTATGTGATATGTTTACACGTTCACCTATAACCTTATATCTATTTTCGACTGATGCGAATGACTTGAAACAAGGTTGTGAGTAGGCATGCTAATAACTAACACACGCCTAACACCACTTCTTGACTATTGATTTCAGTCATGAAGTGAGGTGTAGACTTGTAAAGTAGAGTTGTGAATGTAACGGGAATTATTGGTTAATGGTTGTTGATAACATGGCTGAGAGTCGATGACATTTGCACAGATCTATACACTTTGACTTTGACATCTCACTAACCTTCATTGATTCACTCTTCTTCTCTTATCAAAATCACTCTCCTATTTTTCATATGGTCATGAAGTGTGACTACTAGAAGTGATGCATCTCTTCATCAGTTTCCACATCGATTTTTCTCTCTTTACATCCTATATCTGTTCTACACATATATAAGTGTGTTAACAGGTGAAGACTTTTGACATTGTCTTCCCTAAGATTTTTATAATTGAATGAATATGACATAATGATAACTAGCTAGTAAGTAGGCATACTAATGAATGGTCATTTCTTCTGTGTAGTCTTACTTCATGAAATCCTCTTAGGAGATGCATTTTACGACTATCAGAGAAGAAAACATACAATTTATTGTAAAGAAAGTGATTTTATTGCCAATTATTATCAACAATAATTTATTAAAAATAATAAAGAAATAAATAAGAGTTATTTTATATTGGGAATAAAAAGCTTTTTATTGGCCATTGTTTATACGCATAATGATGATGATGATGATGACGAAATTCAATGCGGTACAGAATAATACTGACAGCTGTTAAAACGTGATGATTACTTGAAACAATATTCATGAGGCGATTTGATTGATTATCACTAGTGGATAACACTCAGACACACAAGTACACATAGATCGATCAATGTGTTCACTTGATTATGACTGATTACCAGATAATGGTACAATTGATACAGGAATATTTGAATGATGTAGTATATATGAACTGACACTACCAATAAAATTACGTCGCCAAAATCCTAAACCTCTTGAAGACATAACAACAATATCAATCTTCTTCTCTGATATCAATTTCACTATAGCTGGACCAGGTTTTGTATCAACTTGAATTAATGCTTCAGATTTTATTCGAAATTTATTTGCTTCATATACTAATTGTTGACACATAGATTTAGCTTTATACATTTCACTTTCAGGTATATAAAATGATGCTCCAGCTGGCATTAATTCACATTCAGCTGATAATGCAGATAATGCTGATGGAAGTACTGGATCAATAACATGAACAAACATAAGTAAGTCACCATCACGTTTCATATTATCAGTATACCAAATTAAACTTTTCTTCGATTCATTACTTCCATCAATTGGTATCAATACTCTTCTTAATACTTTACTATGCTTTGATGAATTAGATTCTAACATTTGAAAGGATGTTTTATTATCTATGTCAACTGGTCTCTGAATACTCTCTAATACTTTATTCAACACTATCTTACACTGTCTATTTATAACATTTATTACTAATTACCAATTGGATTAAAAGACTTGCCAATTATGGTTGGAGAATATACATTATTGGTTATATTCAAGTGGAGCAATTGAAACGACTGATGAAAGCATAAAATGATTGGAGAGGTGAAGTAATAGAGAATTACACATTCTTCTTACTGACCATATTTACATTGTATACCATTACATCATCGTACCATTGACCGCATATTTTTTCTTCTGACAATATTCCACTTGCATTATTTTTATGGTCAGTCAAAAATGCTTTCAATGCACTATTAGTGTATTCTTTTGCTATTTCACTGAATAACCTTTAGAGATATCATAAATGACAGTGTTTGTAAGCAAATACTTTCGTTTATTTCATACTGTTCATAACCATATTTAAGGCACACACTGTGAAGACAGAATTTAAAACCTGTAAAGTACAGCAATTTTATGAATTTACAATGTATTGTTATTAATATCTCTCCTTTGGCTTCCTAGTGGAACATAGGGCTTCAGTTGCACATCTTCATTACACTCTGTTCTCTGCACTCCTTTCAACATAGATCCACGGCTGCCCACAACTTTTCATTTCTCCCTCAAATGATCTCTTGCATGTCACCCTCGCACACCTAACTCGTCTTTTACCGTGTTGCATTCCAAACGAGGGCCTGGTAGTTGATATCTCCGAATGATCTTCTCAGTGTATGCTCAATCCATTCCCATCTCCACTTCCCTCTTCTGCATATTTGTTGGCTGATAGTTTCTTCGTTGGTTCACTCACAGAGTTCCTCCTTGCTTACTCTTTTAGGCTATCGGATCTTCAGTATCCAGTGAGCGTAGGGGGCAGCTGTTGATGTTTATCTGTAGTTTGCTGGAAATGCTTTTCGTAACGTGCCAACTCTCCTAACCATCACATAGAAGCACTGACCTGACTGAGATTAGTGAGTGTTGAAAATTCGGAGGTTGTTCATACTTCATGCCAAGTGGAGTGAAGTGCAGTAGATCTCCATACTGATTTCAGATTAATGAAAGCTTGTCTCGCTTTTCCAATCCTGACTTTGACGCCCTCGTCTGTGCCACCTGTAGTTGAAACCATGGTGCCTTGTTTATCAAGGTGGAAGCGATAACTTTTTTTAGGTTTCTCCGTTCATGGTGATTGGTGCTTGTTGTTGATGCTGTTTTTCGTTGGGTATCTTCATCACCTCTGTCTTCTCTACATTCGTTTGAATTCCCGTCTTCACCGCCCTGCCTCCTCTATCAACTTCTTAGTTTTCAGCTGTACATCTTCGAGTTTGTGATACAAGACATCAGATATAAATCATCGTCGTTTGCGAAATCCAAATATTCTAGGATCTTCTCCATGGTCCAGCGTATACCCCTCTTTTTGCTACTCACAGTTTGCTGCATGATCTAGTCGACCACAATCAGGAAGATCATGGGTGATAGTATGTGGCAGCCTTTTCTTACCCCTGTCTTCACTTCGAAGGCATCACTGAGCTTTCCATTGTGGATCACTTGGCATGTGGCGTCATCATATTGCTATCGAATGAGGTTGATAAAGATTTGTGGCACTCCGTAGTATTGAAGCAACTGCCCACTTATTTACTTCTCGATCGACGCCTCGGTCGAAGGCCTTTTCAAAGTCGATGAAGTTGAGTTGAGGTAGAGAGTTGACTGCTATTCTATTCTCTGTTATATGATGATGCTTAGTGTTGCAATATGATCCGCATGTGATTTGTACTTTCTGAATCCAGCCAACCTGTTCTGATCGTAGTTATGAATCCAGCGCATCTTTTAGTTTCCCCAGGATGATGCGGCTTAATATTTTGCTTGCTTCGGGTGGACAGGAAGTAGTGGGGTATGATTCCGCGAAAGTTCTTGCATAAACTTAGGCTCCCTTCTCTGGGAGTTTGACAAGGTATCCCTTCTTCCAGTCAATCGCCAGGTACCTTTCCTTCTTTCCCTCCTTCCAGACCTTCTGCAGTAGTGTTTCGAGCTTCTCCATTGTTGTCTCTGTGTCTGTTTTCAGTGCTTCTGGCAGAATTCCATATGATCTTTCTGCTTTCACAGATTCCAACAACTTTATGGTGTTCAGGACTTCACTTCTGGTTTTATCGAAGGGCTTGTGTTCACAGGCAGTTCTGCCGTTGCTGGTGGTATTTTTGGACCAGTTGCAGGTTGTGGTGGTGGTGATCGATTGAAGAGTTTTCTGAAGTGACCAGCCCATCTTTTCCTTTGTTTCTCCTCTCTCGTAACTAAGTTTCCTTCACTATCTTTCATCGGTTTCATCTGTGTTGATCTCTTCCCTACCAGATAGTAACCTGGTTATTTGATACAATGTTGTCAGGTCTCTCTTACCAGCAGCCTGTTCTGCTTCACTTGTGTGCCGTAGAAGTGTATTTTGTCTTTGCGCACACTCTGCTTTACTTCTCTGTCCAATGTAGTGTTTTATACGTTATACCTAGTTCCTCTTTTCATTGTGCATCCCTGCACTGGTTTATCTTCTGCTTCACCATCTTCTCCTTGTCTATCAGCTTCAAATAATCAGACAACCTCACTGAGAAATAAAATTTCTAGTTTGAATGATCCCATTGATTCTATGAGACAGAATAATTTAGTCCATCAAATGCCTTTCCAGGACAACATGGTTGAATGCATAGGTCAAAGTAGTAGACAAGGATCAATTAGGCTATATGAACAAAACAACTTAACTAAATCAAGGTACATAGACCCACTTATGATAAAGAATCTGGAAGAAAAGTTAGCTATACCTGTGTGCATTATTATATATAATCATACAATGCATTATGAAAGGGTACCAGTCCTTAAAACTGACTTAGTAGTGTCGAGGGTGAGAGCTTAACATCCATATTTTTGCCTGTTGAACCGATACCGAATATATACGGCAGGAGAGATCCTGTATCTATTCTAGATATATGGAGAGTCCTATTATTTATATCCCGAAGAAGAAAGAGGTAGACATTCTACCATATCTCAAAGTTGTCTAACTACTTGATATGACTGTCGATGATAGATTCTGTTTCTATTTCACTGTGTGATACATCTAACAAATGTACCAGAATAGGAAAAACACAGCCTTAAATAAAATTACATTTTCTACTGAAGTGTTCATCCGAGCAACCAGAGACCTGAGGACTTGTGGATCTAATCCCCGGCAGGGTCGTGGGTCTCTACTCCTGATAAGTTCTATACTAGGAAGAGACATCTGTCCATTTCGTTTAAGTGATGGATACTCTCTCACAAATCTTAAAATTATATTTTTCACTGAATAATATTGATCTGGTTATTTAGTTAGGTTTCCCTTGAACAAAGTATCTTTAATCCGTTGAATTTGTGATCAACATAAAGTATATATTTTCTTGATTCACAAAAGTTCTAAACAGCATACTGTATGACATTATTTGTAATACTTTTAAACAGTCTTACAGTGACTATGATTAGATAGACTTCAGCGATGATTATATTTTTATGTTATAAACTTCAACTCACATGTATAACAAATAGTAAACTCTAGAATACAAATGAAACAATGTTGAAATAAGACTGTGAGTATATGGTGAAGCGACCGAAAGGAATAAGACGTGTAGGTAATAATAATACTAAATGCTAATATGTCTATTTCCCCTCGGTACCGTATTCTTTACTGAATCACATAAATATCAACAGACTTGTGACTGCAAGAACACTATTTGATAAACTATAGCATATATATACAATTCCCACGTATATAAAAATGTCCTAGGCCAAAGATAGAATAACACAATCCTATTGGTTATCAAATTGTCCAATAAGGTTATTCTGTCCACATAAATCAAATCTGAAACAAGAACACTTCTGGTGCTCATTGGTGACCAGCTTGAAGAGGTATTCCCAAAGTTCCAATGAGAAGTCGTGACCGGTGTGGACAAAGCCTGATGGTAGTGGAGACAGTTACTCAACAATGACATTGGGTGGCGGTTGAGCTATATCGTGAGAAAAACACTTCTACTCTAAAGACCAATTATCCTAACCTTAGCTTAGGTAGTTATCATTCTCTGTTCTACACTTGTTAACAACCTACTATTCGGTAATACATTCATTCGATTGATAACTGAAGTAATTAAACATGGATAATCACTTTTGATTTATTTAAAAGAACAGAAGCAGTCATTCAAATCGCATTTTGGACGGCCCTGAGAAGGGACTTTGTTCGTTCACTTCCCGTCATGAAGTAGAAATTTACATCTGGGGCAGTTTATCTTCATTTAAAATGTTAAAGTAAGATGGGTACAGCTGTGGGAGTCAAAGATGCAAACTACTTGTTTTTTACAAAAATCCCTGTAGTTAGTGTTATTGCTTGTATTACACCGTCGTTGATTGGACCGAATTGATCGCTCCCGAATCCGAGTCCAGGTGGGAACAACATCACTTACTGGGAAGCAGGTACATCCAGCTGACGAGTCCCAAATAGGACGAAATGCGCATCCTGGATTCCACTGCCAGCCACCGCCCATCATTACTAAATATAGTTAAAAGACGGGCAATATCGAGGCATCCGCATAGGAGCCCATATGCCAACAGAGACTGATCAATTCGGTCCAATCAACGACGGTGTAATACAAGCAATAACACAAAAACCTATACCCGTCGCACAAGAAGTGGCTATCGTGGCTCGGTGGTGCAGTGGATAACGCGCTGGCGTTTGAAGCGATCGCCCCCGACTCCGAGTCCAGGTGGGAACAACATCACTCACTGGGAAGCAGGTAAATCCAGCTGACGAGTCCCAAACAGGATGAAATGCGCATCCTGGATTCCACTGCTAGCCACTGCCCATCATTACTAATCCCTTTAATTGTTGTTGATATTACCTTCCTGTTAAGGGTTGCCTCCACATGCAGGGCATTCTGGACAAAATCTGCTTAGATGTGGATTTTATGCGCAGAATATATGGAATGCTGCATGACAAT